AAAAAAAAAAATAAAGCAAAATAATTTCAAAAAATATAAACCTTCAGGCAACCTATTATTAAATTAGTTATATATGTATCTAAATTAGTAATAACTATGTAGTTCAATTAAAAAAAAAACTTTTTTCTTCTATTACTGTAATCAATTTGTGATTTTTCAAAAGATTTTTACAATAATTAGCTTTGAAAACCACGTAAATCACTTAAGAGTACCAATTGCAATTATATTAAGCAATGAGCCACAATAATGGAGATGAGGATCATTAGGTCATAAGTGGAATGCTCGTGACCTAATGTACATTGTTTTTCCTATTCAAAATTTTCAACACACACAGCGAATTATAAAAAGTTTTACCTGCGGCAGATTTCAGCGGCTCTCTTCCACGAATGACGAAGATTAAAATATCTATAACACCGAATTCCATTCCTGGACCAATCTGTAATTAAAATAAATTTTTAAGTAAACTAAAGGAAGTTATATAAATTACTATTATAATACTACAAATAGTAGTCCCTGACCTATTAATATTAAATATTTTATTATAGACTTATACTAATAAAAAAAATTATAGTTATTTATATATATATATATAGTACCGTATATCCTTATTATAGGAAACTTTTTTTTATTTCTCTCTTTAAACAAAATAGAGTAAACGATTATTGCTTTCTTATATCTGATCGAGTGTTACAAAGGAGTTTTGTCGTTCATACTCTAATTCCTCTTAAAGCCGTAAAGAACAAAAATATTTCGTATTGTCATTGTTATTCGAGAAAATAAAATTGTTTAAGAAAAAAAAAAATAAATGGAAAGATAATTGGATTTAGAAACAATAGATTCATGAACAAGTATTATCTAGAATTGAAAACTAAACCTAAGGTTTGAAAAGTGTTGTAATTGTTCTCGTAATTGTATGGTTTAAATACCTTATAATTTTCTCATAATTATTTTGGTTTAGATCCAGTGAAAGAAATGTTTTTAAGTTTTTTTCTTAATAAAATTAATATAAAAAAAATGCTTAACAATAAAAATAAACTTAATTTTTCAGGCTAATATGTACCCTGTACAGGACATTGCTATAACAATACATTTACACTTCTATAACACTGTATAATACAGTGTTATAGAAGTGTTATAGAAGAAACAATACATTTACACTTCTATAACACCTTCTATAACACTGTAGATAATTCCGTGTTATATGAATTCCGTGTTGTATGAGTCACTTAGATTTTTTTTACAAATACATGAACCGTTTACAGCCCGGCACACGTATTTGTAAAAAATCTAAGTGACTCGTACAACACGGAATTCATATAAAACGGAATTATCTACAGTGTTATAGGGGGGATCTACTGTATTGTTAATTTACAAACTAAATTTATATCATTTTGCAAAGCAATAAATTTAACTATTTTGACTCTTAACGGGTTTATTTTTTATTTCAAATTATAAATTAATTTCCTGATAAGTCGATAAGAGGATAAGCGTGTGTATTTTTTTTTTTTACATTTAATTGAATAATTGTTCCGGTAATGAAGAAGTTGAAAGATTTTTCAATTAGAATAATTATAATATAGATAATAGGAAGTAAAAAAATACCGAATAAGTAGAACAAAAAGGAAGTTGAAATGTAAAACTTCCAGTAATTGTGGACGGAATAAAGGAAACAAAACAAAAACGAAAACACGAAAAAAACATTAATAAGAAAGTGTTAGAGGAATTAAAAAAACGAGAGAAACTGTACGGTAAAATATACAGAGAAAAAGTTGCTTACTTCTCAAGCATAACAAAAGCAATTAGGAAGAAGAAATAAATGTTTTTCCTCACATGTCTGATTGAATATTGGTCAAGTTTTTATAATGGGAAGAAGTGAAAATAAGTAACGAGGAAGAAACAGAATCAGAAAAGACATTTCGTCGCTTAATTTTTATATTTAAAATTGAAAGTTTTATAAATATTTTAAAAATATATCCCATTTATAAACTTAATAACCCAGCATTTTATTATTTTCCAATGTTTAAATGACTTTTCTGAGAGATTCTACTGGTTAAGAAATACTACTGGATTAAATTATATCAATTAAATCCTACAATAATAATAATAATTTGCAGTTTAATTAATAATATTCTATAATATATAACGAAAATTGTTATATTAATTAAACTTTACGAGATTTACAATAGAATAATTAATGTCGTGACAGAAAGTATGATATTAACTTAAACTGTTAATTTAATATAGAAAGATTAAAACGAGTTTGAACTATTTAAAACACTGTAATCATTTTTTTTTTCAACGTGATCCATGTAAATTAATTATTTCGGTACGTAACGTTAGGTTCAATTCGTTAAAATGAAACAGTAGTAGACCCTTATATAGTTTTCAATGCTATTAACACACCTAGGTCATTCACCCGTGACAAAATAACGTTACTTGGTGACTTTTCCTGGTTCGTGAGACGAGTTCGACCCTGTCTCGACAGGTCATATTAAGAATTTCTCATACAATTAACATCTATAAACATTTTTACTTTAATTAACTCTTTATATTTAAAAATAAACGATTTAAAATAAGTTAAGAAGCAAATTTAAAAAACTTAAGAATAACAAATTATATTGTTTTTATATTAAAAAAAAAGACTAAATTTAATATAATAAAACTCACCTTCTGGACATCTAAGAAGATCATTATCCTGTTTAAAAAGTAATTTTTTTTTATTAATAAAATAAATTGTGTATTAAGTTTTAATCTTTAAATGTAAATTTTATATCTTAAAAATACATTTTTTTAAGGACTTTTTTTAGGATTTCAATTAAACTTTGTACATTGGAATGCGTTCATACAAGGCCAAGTTTCTAGTTTGACCTACGTTATGGCGAAATTACTAGCAAGTTTGGTATTCGCGGTGTTGAACTGAATGAGAAATTTCTATTTAAAAAAAAGAAAAATCTTAGTGTAGATGTAACTTAACAGTTATAAATCGCATTCTCGCAAGGTGTTCTAAGCTTTAACAATAGACAATGAAGAGTAAACTAACACTACTACGTATAATTTACATTATTATAACCTACTTATAATGAAAGTAAGAAATACCGAATGTTATATAAACTTAATTAAAATTATTAAATGAGTTTTATCTTTAAAAAAATCAGATTTAAATAAAGAAACTCACAGTGAGTTTCCGTATATATATATATTCTATAGAAGAATGTAAAATAACTCACCTGAGTATTGGCTAGACTTGTGGCTAGAAACAAAACACTAAAAATTACAAAATTAATCCGGAGATAATTCATTATCCTTAAAAACTTATGTGCACATTACATATCCATGCACATCATTGGCATCAAGTAAATCGACATTCGACCATGTATGGCTGGTGATTGTCTCTACAAGACTCTAGCCAAGCAACTGCCTGAAAGAAACTGGTTCTACAAGTCTTCTTTTACCTGTAGGCTACACCTGTCCAGTTAGCTGAGTTCTGATTTTTTCGCATGAATTACAATTGTAGTGGATTAAATCCTCTATTATTATTATTATTATTCTTTTATAAAAATGAAAAAAAAAATAAAAAATTCGGAAGTTCATTTTTATAATATTTTTAGAAATTTATATATTTTTAGCCATAAAAGAATTAACATTTATGTATTCATTTTGTACATAAAACGGTGTTTAAGAGTATATAATAGTTTTAAAACGTATAAAAATTAGGGGGAAAAAGACCAAATTTAGTCATTTTAAAGACATTATTAAGGTTTAAAACAAGTCAAACTACATTTTAAACTATATTTCTGGGAATCACGTTATTTTATTAAGTCATAAGTACATGATATGAAAGAATAATTTCGGAAATAAATATGATTACATAAACTACACAGTGACATAGGTACATTTTTTAAAAAATATAATTTAAGATTAAATTCAAGTTGGCGTAATATTAACCAATAAAAATATATTATATTCGATATTTTAATGAAGAAATAATCCTTATTTGGCATGTAGAAATGTGTATAACATTCAGGTTCGTTCAACTTTCACCTTGGAAAAATACATCTACGTCGTCACATGACTCGAAGAAAGCGACAGTAGAAAAAGAGCAATATATATATATATATAGTAAATTCCTTCAGCAAATAATAAGAATTATATAATGATGATGACGATAGGATTCACCGCCATAATCTCCTAACCTGAAAGTTCTTAATGGAGAAAGGCATTTTTTTTTTTTTTTTTTTTTTTTTTTTTTTTTTTNAGGGAACAATGTAAAATTCTTAATTTATTCATTTCAAACGGAACGGTTTAACTGGTTTTATTTGCACCGCAGCATCAACGTTTTTCCCCCCTTCTCCTGTTTTTTTTTCTACCCCTTCTTTGTGGTTTGTTCTAAAGTGCTCCATTGGAAGCGTGGAGTAACGTTAATTGTCTTTATGTAATGTTTACTTTCAAAAAGATGAATGATTTAAACCATCACCTTCCACAAATAGCAAAAGATGAATTTAAATAATGAGAGGAAAATCAATTAAAGTGATGCACTAAAGCATATTTCTATCTTCCCCCTTTTCTTCTTTATTTTATTTTATTTTTTTATTTTTTTTAATTTCTTCCTTTCTCCATTTTATAACAGATATCAATGTCTTTCTTACTTTTATTACAGTTTCTTCTTTATCAATTTTAATATGTAAATGAAAGCAATATTTCAAAACTAATGAAGTAAGTCTTGTTTTCTAAAAGGAATTTAAAATGTTCTTTTTATTTAAATGATAAAATCCTGTACGCTGATTAGTTAAAAGCGTTTACATATTTATTTTGTCATTATTTATTTATTTATTTTAAATACATCACTTTTAAGTTCATTAATATACATTAATTTAGTTATTATAAATAATATTATATTTTATAAAACACTAAATATAATATTTACTACAGATTATTTAAGGTTTTTAGGAGAAATTTACGAAAAAATCGAGCGATGAGTTGCTTAACTTTTCCGGCAATATTGAGAACTACGTGTGGCGCCATCTTTAATGATATTTTATTAAAACAAAAACTAAAAATACTGTACAAGAAGTCGGTTTGAGCACAAATGGCTAATACAATATTATCTAAAGAAAGAATACAAGCGTGGGATTCTGTACATAAATCGTAACAACTAACATACATATCAGGGATTAGGAATAAAAGAGTTAAAATTCATTTTTCATTTATAAATACAAATAAAATTGTTTTTTTTTATTGGTGACAGCCGATTATTTGCGGATCAAATTCCGCATTACGGTAATTACGAGTTTATATTCTATTGTACTTTAAAACCGCATTTAATGGCACAAAGTATCATTGACTAGATGTCGAACGTTTACGGATAGAAAAACAGTTTACCATTATAAATGATATACGGTAATCCCTGAGATTTTAGAAACAAAAGAAAAAAAAAATGTATCTGTAAAAGATTTTCAATGGTCAATCACCTATAATTATTAGTGCAGTTTTTTCTAGTTGTAGCCCACACTTGTTCGTACGTAAGAGTTTTTCCTCGAAATTTAGTCACCTGTACTTCGAATACGTAGGTAGTTGCAGGTTCTAAACCTTTAATTTCTTGTAGGATAACATTATTGAAACGATATCTACTAAACCGGTGATATCTTCTACACAAAACTTTCTGTTTTCCTTTACTTACGATACCATCTATTGGTTTGTTGCATATATCTTCGGGTTTTGCAAAATATTTAAAATGTTTACTCTTATCGGACTGTACGTAGATACAATATCGAACTTTCTCGTCATTAGTTGTCTTCCAAGCTAACGTTACAGATTCGCACGTAGTTAATGTATCGAAAAGTTGTACTCGTTTATCGTTGGGCATCGTCGGAAATGGATACTTATGATACTTTCTGCTGAGCCACAAACGTACCCTTCTCGGTTGTTTAATTTTCGAAGAAAGTGTCAGATGTAAAGTGCTATTCGGAAGATCGTGTACTACTATCGTGTGCATATCCATAACATTTACAGAAAATATTTTTTGAGTATCGGTCGATAGTGTAACGTTAATGGGACCCGGTCCGAAACATGATTGCACGAAACACCATATCGCTTGTAACGTATTGATTGTTGCATACTCGAAAGTTGCACTGTAACCATTAGATTCGTTTAAATATACCATGATTAACATATTCTCTCTCAATTTACCGGAATGAAGACTTTTTGTAGCGGCACTGATGCCGATGTAAGAAGAACTAAAATTAGTCAAAGGATCCACAGCAAAGACATCGAAGTAGTAAGTACGGCCTTCTTCTAGATTTTGTACCATATGCCATGTTTTTCTTCCTAAGCAAGTATATGTAATGTCATTTTTTAAATCGACATTCTTTTTAATCTCTTTAGTTCGGGTCATCAATCGTTTTTTGGCATTTTTCTCCCACCAAAAACCAAAACCCGTGGATGGTGGCAAAGGAGCTGGATAATCGCCCGTCAAATCAGAATTTAATGAACAAAGTGTTGGGTAATTCATCCTTGGATTTACAGAAATACAATATTCGATTTTTTTGCCTTCAGTTTCGGAAGGACTCGGAAGCCATGATAAAAGAATGCGATTTCTTCTGACTTTTAAAACATCCAAATTTGGATTATTAGGTAATTTTGGATATAAACTTGTCATGTTACTTGTTGATAAATATATTAAAACGCTGGTATCTCGTATTTTCGCAGTTATTTCTAGCATATAGAGTCCCGAAGGTGCTTGAAGAGTCGTGTAAGTTTGTCTTTGCTGGCCATAGTAAATAGATGGATGATTAATGGGTACGTGGTTATTTAATACATCTGAAAAAAAATTTTAAAAAATTTTTAAATTATGTGTACAGTATTAATATTAAAATATTTCTAGGAATCTATTTTAAAATTATACTTTTTAACACGAGATGGCGCCACCTTAAAAATCGTTTAAAAATTTATAATCTTGTGTATATGTACATATTATTTTTAAATGTTTATTAATTAATTGCATTCATACATAATTTTAAACTTTTATTTATTAAACATATTTAAAAATTACAAATTACTGTATTTAACATTTTCAATTCGTTCACTAGATGGTGCATTTATGACCATAAACATTGAAAAAGTAAAATAAAATAAAATATTAATAAATAAATAAATAAATAGAATTTTATTTTTTATTGAAGTTAAAACTTTTATAAAATATTTCTTTTTTAAAAAATGTTTATAACAAAGTTATTTTATGTGACACGTCAAGCGATATCTGGGCATCAATGCCGAACTTCTCACGTTACATACCAGAAAAGCAATAGAGCAAAATATTAAACTTATAGAAAATATAAGCGTCCTAACAAGGCTTTCACCTTTTTTTTTTTTTTTTAATTTCAAACGATTCTATTTCCTCGGCCTTTAAAAGAAACGAGATAATGAGGGGGAAAAAACAACTCGCTGTCTATGTAAATAAAGCGTGGCTTGTGAAAGCAAATGTTTAAAACTCGCTTAATATTGGAAGGGGAAAAAAATATAAAATGTCATGCATGCCCAATTCCGTAACAATCATCTAATCTAAAATACTAGCAGCTGTCAAAACATTTCAGAATGTCCACTGAAAGGCGGAGTTACAGTTTGTAATCGGAGATGCCATGCTTCAACGTTAACAATACCTGATTCTTCCAGATAGAATTCTTTTCGAAAATATATAATTACTCTATATATAATTTAAGTTGTATTGTATTGTATGTATAATATATATAAAGCAATTAAATTGCTAATCATCTGTTAAATGGCAATTTATATATATATAGCAATTAACAGTGTCGGCAGCAAATTTCTTTATATGGCATCTACCCAATATTATATTTAAACATCAATAGCATCAGAAGTAATAAATAGAAAACAATGAATGCAGCACTTTTATGAAATTTATCATCAATTGTTTTTCTAACAGTAAGTAATTTATGAAAATCAATAATAAGTAAACCCTACTCGAAGTTTATAAGTGAGAGATGAGGATTTTAATTCATCAGAATCAATAGTAATCAGTAATAAGAATTTTATTTATGAGAATCAATAATAAAGTAACAAATGATATATATATAAAAATAGTAACTAATAAATGATTTATGAGGGTTAGAAATGCCGCTACAAAAAGAAACTAATAATAATAATAAATAAAAGTAAAAAGTTTACGAGCGTTTAGCCATATATATTAGGGGTAGTAATTCATTTATAAACTTTGTCCCTAGATTATAATGAATATTCTACACTCAATTAATTATAAATTACTAAAAAAAAATATGTAATTCATTCGTCAGAGTAAAGTTTAAGAAGAAATTTAATATATTTTATTATATTATTTTTTTTTCAAATTAAAAAAGAAATTCTCCAACCTGTTTCTGATCTAGCTACTTCTCCAGGAAAACTTCTTAGAAATAGCCTCCATTCGATTGGAGATGAACAAGGAGTGACTGTCAAAAACATGGGTCTCTGCTCTTTTTCTATTAATACGAAGATCCTGAAATTAGTAAATGATATAATTTCAAGGATAAAACTTTATCTTAATCCGTTTTATTTAAATAATAATAATAATAATAATAAAATAGCTCACAAACTTTTTATAAGCTAAGAGAGTGACCTAAATATATTAAACTTAAAATATGAACTACGATCTAGATAAAGTTTAGTTGTATAATCGTTCTATTTTAAATGGGTTACTATTTAAATTTTGTCTAAAGTTAAGCGAGTAAAAGACACGTTAAAGACGTAGGCCTGTTAATAATTAACACGTTAAATTTCCAAAATTACTAACACCTAAACGGTGCAAAGTTTGTCATTTATGTCAGGGTTACGATTCTAAATATTCCTCTCTATCTATTAACTGTTTCCAGAAGAATGATCATAAGATGGATGGAATGTCCCAGTTAAGAAGCCATGCTGTCTGCTTCGTTATTTGTATTTCGGTTCACTTTTGGTACGTTGACAAGACATTTTGTTGGCCCAGACAAAACAAATGGTTAGACTGATAACTGTTTCAATTAGAAGTTTCTCAACAAAGTTTAACAACTGCACACTTTACCAATTAATAAAATGGAGTTGACAGCATTTACAGTATTTAGGGTCGAGTGTCATAAGTGTCAAAATTTATCAGAAGTTGACCTATAATAAGTTTTCGAAAGTAAAACGTTTAGATTTAGCGATACGCTTGATATATTTCTTTCTATTTTTTTTTTTTTTCCCAGGTTTTGGGTATTTTAAATCTATTCATTTTACAGTGTTTACTGCATCTACGTGCTCTCAAAAATATATTAAAAATAGAATTTCTCGATCTCAATAATTATTCTTCGATGTGTATTTGGTTAGATCCCTAGGCTATTGAAAAATAAAAGTATTTCTAGATAAACAGGGTGGTAGAATTTCCGAACAAGGTGATTAAGATCCCTGTTTAGTTAACTTAGAACATCTGGATTGGCTTTTACTGTCTTAATGACAGACTCTTCTAAAAATAAAATAAGTAAAACAAGGAATTAGTTTTTGTCTGAATCAACACCGAAACAAATATATTTAAAAAGTAAATGATGTTTTAATTAACAAACCTCTTTATTTCTTCACGAAATATGTATACTTTTACTTCCATATTCTCTGGTAGTACTCCATTGTCGAAGAATATTTCAGGCCGATACTTGAAAGGATCTGATGATAAAGATCCTTTTGATGATAACAGCACAATGAGAATAACTAACGATATCATTTTCTTCTACCTTAAATAATGCAATAAATATATTTTATTACTTTAATTTCTTTTTAAAAATAATATTATTGTTTTTTATATAATCTATACAATTTTATATGTATGTTTTTTTGTAATTTTATTATGATAAAATAATAAAAAATAATAATAATTTTATGCAGAAACAATTCATATAAGAATTAATGCAAATTAAAAGCTTAACATATGAATATATTTTGCATGAACAGAGTGGTAGTACTAATGNTTTTTCTACTTTAATTCTGTTGAATATGAATAAGTAATGCTGTATTAAGTGTACATTTTGTGATAAATATAAATTGTACACATTTATAAATTGAGTTCAATAATAATAATAATAATTTTTTTCTATTATTTTATAAAAAAATTTTCTTAATATTCTTGAATAAAATGGGAATAAATGTATTTGATAGAAACAAATATTTTCTTTTGGAAAAAAGAAAAAATGGTGCTTTATATAAACCGATAACACTGGATCAGGTTATATAATATTGTTATAAATAACACTTTACAATAGTTATCGTCTTGAATTGTTATAAATAACATACTTTGTAACAGTTATTACGTTACCGTGTCGTAAATTACGTATTTTACAATCGTTATTATGTCATATTATTTTAAATATTAGACTTTACGTCAGTTATTACGTAATGTTGTTACTTATAACATATTATACACATCAAATTTTATATTATTTTAAATGAAAAACGATAGATTTTGCTTATTTCTTATTTATAACATCAGTCACGTTATATTATATAGAACTTTACTGAACTTACGTATGATATAAATATTACATAACACGTCTATAAATATCGTATTATTTAATTATAAAATATAAATTATGATTATGATACGTTTATTGTTAACGTTTATCTTTTAATATAATTTATTACATAACAACAAAATGTTTATTTATAATAAAATCCTTGATAATAAATCCTCGAAAGGTTACTCGTACGTTGTATATAATAACACTAAAAATGATACTTTTCTATTTATTTGAGAATATATATAACAATGTTAACAATCAAAAAATGAAATAAATAATATCCCGAATGTATTATTAAATCAATTTTATTATAGATATAATTTTATTTTAAAATATTCGTGTTAACAAAGTAAAATAAATATTGAATATTTACGAGTTTCGTTCTTTCTATTCCGAATTTCATCGGTAAAGTAATGGAGTGATATCTTAAACAAACAGGTCAACAGGTCAGGAATGAATCCCCATGTGAAAAATTCTGCTCTTGCTCGGATATAAACAATTGTGTTATTCTTATCCGTTGCACCACTTGCACCGTGTCATCCATCTTTACACAGGATATGACTTCACGCCATCCGAATTTAGTTTACTCTTTAATATATATTTAAAAAAGTTAAATATTTTTAGAATATTTAACCTGAGAATATCTTCTATACAGGATATTAAAAACTTCCCTGTTTTTTTTTTTTTATTTAATTAAAGCGTTAATCGATATCCAAATTCCTTCATTTAACTGTAAACAGTTCTGGTACATCAAAGAAAAATGATCGCAGCTGCATATTAGCGTATCGAGGACCGAAAAAAAAAATTTTTCTCACACAAATTTTATCAAAGCATTCGTAATCAAGAAACATTGTTTATCTTTTATAAACTAAACAATTTTTAGTTTTGCTGGAAAGTAATACTTTCGAGTGGATGGTATCAAGTAACAAAAGAATCTTTTCTGTTTTATAGAGGTAAATGAACCTCAAAGAGATGGGAAGCTAATAAACTATAACAGTCTCTTCTCTCTCTCTGTCTTCAAATTTTCCCAATTTTAACTTTCTATTCTCTGACCTTGTGTGGTACGGTTAGGGACAGTTGTAGCATCTCAGTTTTAACAGATGTCACCAAAATCTGTGGGAGGTAAGTCAGCTGATAAAATTGATTGTTTTCTACCCACGTGCGACACATGTGAAGAGTCAAAAAAAAAAAAAAAAATGTCTCTCGACTCGTGTTATAATAATTGTTTAATTAACAAAACTACGCTCTTTAAAATGCATTAAAATGTTGACATTTGACCTCTTAAAATTCCACACATATTTTTCAAACCGATTGGAAACCTTCTTCGGCTCCAATTACTGTTCCTTTAGAGTCAAACCGACTTTTCCAAGAAACGGTCTAGTAGCAATTAATGCTTAGACAGCACACATGTTTATTTTTGCATGTTTCAAAATACAGACACCGCAATGGTTTTAATTACCATCTTACAAGATATACATCCTACTAACTAAACCCTACACGATTTTTATCGATTTAAAAAGCCCAATTGAAAGATCTTACATTAAATTTAAAAAAATAATAATAATAAAAAATACTTGAAAAAATTAACTTAAAATATTTATAAAAATGATTGCAAAAAGTAAAAACGAGAATTAAGTACATTTATAAATTCGATTCAGTTAACAGTTACAATACAAATCCTGTTTATTTAATAATAATTAGCGTATCGAATAAGACAATGCTTACATTGTATGGAAACAATTTATCTTCCAGTTTTCAGAAATAATAGAATATAACATCACGCTCTGGAAACGAACACGTGCGAGCAGACTAAAGCGTGACAGATGAAAACACGTGGTCTCCTTGAGTAAAAATGAGCACTTGTGTCTAGGACAAATTATCATTCTTTCTAAAAATCGAATCTTCTTAAATATTTTATCTATATTCCCATGTTATTGATGTATCGTGTGACGTTGTGGGAAAGGGAAGAAGGGATGGGGAGTTGTTTTATGACTTTAAGGGGATACTATCGATCGGGGTGACCACGTCCTGCAATTTGTTAGACATTTCATTGTTTCTGACTGTTTTGTTAACTTCTTTTTACCACTTTTTCTAGTAAAAATGTGTGTGGTGTTCGAGGAATGAAGCGAGTTAGAAATGTCATAATCCGTTGTAATGTTTTAAGAACTTCCGGTAATTAAATCCATACGTTTCGTTGGAGAGAACATTTTTCTTATTTTTGGAGACTATATATAACTATGTTTATGGTTATAAGCATGATTAATTTAACTAAATATCCCCCTTTTTTAAAAAAAAAAAAAACTATACTGTCACCTAAATAACTTTTAACTATTTTTTTTTACGATTAAAAAACATTTAAATCCTGTTAAAATTCACGACTTTTAACGATGATAAACGAGAGGGAAATTGTTTAAAATGTTTAAATCACACGGGAAAAACTCTATTCATAACCTTAATTAGTTGTTTACTTTTAAACAAGATAAGAAGAAAAGTCATTTTACAATTAACTACAACTCTTTGATTTATAACCGGAACTATTATTACACGAGTCATTAATTACATAAATTTATATAAAAATTTATATTTATTCTATTGATACTTACTAGTTTTAGTCGAGTTTCTTATGATTGAAGTGCTGGTTACGATCTCCTTTCCGTGCCAGCTCAGCATCTCCAAATGCAACTCATCTGACAAGCGTAGTGTGGTGCTGGTGGTGATGGAGTCACGTGGTATATAGGGCTATCTAAAACAAAGAAGTTTCAAGTAAAATTTTAGAAGATTTATGATATTATTTAAGCTACAGTAATCCAATGCGAATTTATTTTTAACAGTAAAATAATATTTAAAAATGCTTTGCAAGTGGACCGTTATAACACTGTACAAAACACTACTATAGTGTTTAGTTTGCTAGATTAATTTTTAATGTCCTCTAGCGAATATTTTTTTACCAGTTTTCTATATTTAGAAGGGATTGTTTTTACGTAAACTTAAGTGTTATACGGTTTGATTTTCTCATTACGTGCGTCACTGAATTTATAGGGACGAATGTGATACCGATTACCAATAGACTCAAGATGTTTATCTTTAAGAATTGTTTTTGATCTTGAAACGTAATCTTCGGCGAATTAAACAGTAGCTTCGAGTATTCATTTCAGTAAAAACGTAATAAGGAATTTACATTTTTAAATTTAATATAAAACAGTTAAATGTCACCACTGTTCGGATGACTTTAAATTCAAATTAATTTGTTTTTTTTTAATTAAATAATTCAGGCATTTTTAATCATTATAATTTATTATTTAAATATTTAATTAGCTTTAAAAAATTGTACTTTATCAAATTTTATTTAAAAAAAAAAAATTGTAAATGTTAATGAGTAAAATCGCCATTAAGTTCGACCCTACTAGAAATACACACGACCCCATTATCTCCCACCCCTTCGACCTTTAACCACAAAAATTTAAAAGCACGAATCCCACGAATAAACAAATCTCCTTGCAAAATTTTAGCAATTTTCGACAAAAATCACAGGAGTTATTAAGCTTCAAAGAGGGTGAATAAAATCGTGCTCCCATTTATTTTTGAAAAAAAGTGTCCGCCCTTTAAAGGTGGCCGTTGTTTGCAGGTGAATAATCTCTATTGAAATTTCTATATTTGCACTGTATTTGTTATTTTTTTTTTAAAATCGTTTTAGCCATTAAAGTATTCTTATATCCTGCATTTAAATAAAGTTATTTAAATATATTATTTAAATGAACTATTAAATAAAACTATTGAAACAAATTTTAGTTATATAAAAACTTTTTTATATCTTATATTTTTGAATTTAAAAGGCGAATAAATAATGAAAAATCGTTTTGTCTTCTATCAAAATCAAGATAACGTTTGGCTTAAAACAAAGTTTTTATCATTTTAATAAACAGAATCAATGGTAAAAACTATGCGATGTCAAGGACATTTATGCATTTTATTTCAATTCTTTCTTAGAATTGTAACTCTTAAATTTCTTCTTTGTAACTAGGGAGATACTTTCTGTAGAATTTCAAACATTTCATACACTCAAAAATTATGCCTTTATTTTTAGAATGATTAATATATATATATATATATGTTCCGTTAAAGTATACATTAAACTAATCAAATTCACCTGTTATATATAATATATCTTAATTACGTATATTTCTGAAAGGGTTTTAATGGACATACACACACACACTTGTTTCGTTTCCTCTCAAATAAACGGTCCTCGAGTACTTTTCATATAATAAAGTGTATTGTGATGGATTTCGGTGTTAGACTGAGCATTTTCAGCTGTTTTACCGAACTGGAAACGGTCCAAATGCGTAAATTTAGATAAATATTCGAAAGTTTATTTATTTTCATCATTTCTTTTATGAATAATTCTTCAAAAGCTTTAAGGTATCTTGAAAAACTTCAAAAGAAAACAGCGCTCTTTCAATGAGGAATTTTGCTGATTTTTATCGATTGTATATTCGAATTTATTATTTTTATAAAATTATAATTAACTTATCTGGCACACAGATCACATTTATTTAACTTTCACTTTATTGAATGGTTGCTCTTATCGAATAGAATCCATCTATGAATATCTTATAACTGAATGATTGTCTATGTACTTTTCTATGACACAACATCACTCAAGAATCACGAACTCTCCTCCTCGTGTCTTATCTAGAAGAAAGATTAATGAAGTTTTAAATTACAGATGGAATCTTCTTCTCCTTTATAGGATTAATATATTTACTCTCTGATATCATCTTAATAAATTCGTAAGATTTTTTCTATGTAATTTTTACTAAAATGATGCAAAATTTATTTTATTAGCAGTGAAAACAATTAACGATTTTCTTTTTTGCCATAAACCTTTCTCATTCCTATTAACACCATTAAAAAAAAAAACAAAGCTAGCCTCAATACTGCATCCTGTCTCCATCTGTTGACAAAAATATTTAATAAATTTATTCGTGATAAAATTAATTTAAAAATAATAAGAATAATAATAATAATTAAATTAATTTTATCACGAAT